ATTTCAAAAACAAAAAAAAAAATACAAATTGAATCAAAAACGAATACAAATCCAACTCCAAATACAATCTATGCTCAGAAACCAGTAATCCAAAAGAAAATATATGTATGAACCTTGTTTGCATGATGTTCCTTGTCATCTCCGTCTGAATTCTCTTCAAGCAATTCCAATTCGACAACTTTCTTCGCTGAAACATCCTGTTCGTTTACAGTGAAGTTTTTAAAAATATTGTAAAATAAAATATTGTCTAAATCTACAACTAAACCATAAATTGTAGAATTGCAATTTAGTTGGGCCTATGTGAAAATAAGTTTTTAATAGTCAGCCTCGAAATACCTACTTGGCTTGGCAGTTAGCAGACTCAAAGTCTGATCCCTTCGTTCAGTCTCCTTTAAACGTTGGCGGCTATGTTTAATGGTGATACTGTAGATTCGTGCATATACAAGTACAAGTATGATGACAGGAATGTAGAATGAACCCAAAGACGAGTACAGGACATAACCTGCAATTCGGAAAGTTAGAAAGCTTGAGGAAATTCGATTGAATGGGAAATGATCCTTACCAACATCCGTGCTAACTGCACACTCGCCAGGGCGTCGTTCAGGTCTCCAGCCGAAAATTGGTGGCAAACAGATCAACAACGATACCACCCATGCAACGCCTACAAGTAAATGAAGACAGTAATTGGTCGGTGGTCCAAAATTTCCTTTTTTCTCAAATTCCTCGCTGATACGTGGAGAATAGTTCTATACTACCATGTCTTTTTTAACGCTAAAACTACCAATGCTAGCAAAAGTTTGTCGATTCTGATGATATACACATATATTGGATGTGGGACAATGACTTACTCAAAGACACAGTTTACGATAAGTTTTAATTTTCGATTGGTGCAGAGTAGTGCCAAGGTGACGAGGAGAACGCGGAAATGGGAGGCTCCAAGAAAAAGTGTTTGAAAAGAAGCAAAAGGAGGCTGTACGAGTCAACGACGTCAGAAATAGTAGGAAAGAGTTTTAAGACAACCTGTCAGTTGTGTGCTATTGCCCATCACATATTGAGCTCATCACAGAATTCAGAAATGCCGACAATTACTCCCTATCCTTGTCAACAGTTGTTTCAGCTTTCAACATTTGCGCTCCGCTTTGAATGGTGCAACCTATTAGAGGTCTTTTAAACACGGCTACTTTTGGGTGTGGCATACAGTGGATCATTCTTTGAACCCTTACTAGGTCTCATCTAGGCATTTTCTTGATCTGACAGTGCCACATGTCGCATATTTTGGGACCGCCGATTCATCTTGGGGGGTTATATTTGTCTACATGAACAAACATTCAAGGTATAGTAGGCGATCATCAACATGAATACAGTACCATGAAATTTATCCCAAAACCATACTTGTTTACTAGTTGTAAGCAAATAAAGTGGGTTCATAAGCATTGAAATAGAATAGAAAAGAAGAATGTCATCTTTTTTGAGGACGGAGTAGGGTAGGAAACTATTGAGCGAGATTGTACGATGTTTCTGGCACTTTTGCGACAACTAACCCTTGGTTTACATACTTGTTGTCAGTTCCGACTTTTCAGGCACATTTGACAACTACGTGAAACAGAAAACTAGTAAACATTTGTTCCTTTCACAGAGAATGTTGTCGTGTCGATTACGAAGTCATAATTAATATTTTATGGTGCCCACTGATGGTTGACGTTGGAGTGCATAGTGAAACAATATGTAAAGTTCCCACGTCAAGAGTACTTTATCAATAAGTTACATCTTCACATCTCTAGGAAGATGATATTTTTCTTATAAATATTTAATGCACTCTCAAGAACGGTCGAAGGACTCCCATTCCTTGGAAATGGGAACCTGGCGACGTCCTTCATAAAAATCATTAGACTCATAGACAATTTATAAATCTGGGAAACGTTCTCTCGAAAGATTTCATATTCCCATGCTGCCCACACAAAGGGCTGGAAATGCCGAGAAATTCTAATCATTTCCAGGAGGATGAGATTACCGCGATCTCCACCATCGTAAGGCTCTGCTCACATCGTATGGAACAGCATTAACAGATCGACTTATTTGAAATGGGACGATAATAACTTAGATGATCGTCCCTTTTTCAAATTCCTTTTATTCTATCCATTCGACATTTCGTAGGGGACATTTAATGTCCTCCACTACGATTTAAGGAGCCAAACACTTCTGTCCAGTCAGAACAGTAGGGGCATCAGCAAGCGTACGTTTTTTCTGAAGCTTCGCGACATCAGCCGATGTCATTACCGTGATATTATCCTCAGAGACAAATACTTCGAAGTAATCTGGCTCAGAAGGTCAGGAGCCTGAATTGTCTCCTTCAAACCCAATTTGCACTAAATGGCAAAAGCCCACAAGACCGCTTTCTAAGTCTTCAAGCCGCCGCAAAGGTTAGTTTATTCATTTCAGAGCAATTCTATCGACTTCAAGTTGAATAAATCGTCTTTTTCAACTGCTAGAAGCTACACACCCGTTGGAATCGTTACACTGTCCTCCACCATACCTTTCCCTCGCTCTTCTACCCTATGACGGACCGATAGGGCATCCCCATGACGGACCGGTGGGACGTAACCTAAAGGCAAATATTCGGTGAAGGAGCGTGAGGCACATAGTCTGGATGGAATGATGAAGCTTTTCAGCTCAACTCACTGCATAATCCGACACTCATAGCCACCTTCCAGGCACGTTCCTGAAAACCGTCTAGCGTGCTACTTGCGTATTACTTTGCAATATCGTTAACACAGAATATGTACATACTGATGTACTCCGTGTTCTTGTACAGCCTCTGCCGTTTCGGCCAGTTAGGGCTCTTCCCCTATATCGAAGACACCGGTGAAGGCGGCTAGGTCAAAAGTTAGCCAAGTGGAAGGTATAACACATTTTTCGAGGATTCACAAGTATATTTCATGCCATGATCCATCGAGAGTCGACCGCGGTCGCCTAAGGAACCGTACCGATAGAATCGTGTACATTCCAACGCGACGCGGTCGCGCGGCGTGCCCAATCGCAACCTTTTCGGAGGGGAGAGAAGAAATCTGCGTTCAGCCATCCGAATACGAAATATTTCGAAACCCTGGCTCGCAGTGCACGATTTTTTCGTGCACATTTCTCGAGATAGAGCAATTTGCTGTGAAGGATTGTTTCGTGACTCTAAGTCAATAGAATTTCAGTTTTTATAAAGTAGTGAGGAAGTCCTTAAACTGGATTTAGCAGTTCCACATCTACATTTTCGCACTTTCGTCGAAAACGAGACAGCACGAAGCTACTAAGCCTCTTCCCATCAACCCTTCAGGCTGCAGAACGATCTAATCGTTAGTGAAATTCGAAAAAGGCCCAGCACAATGCAATTTTCAGATGAAACGTTGACAATGAAAAACTGCAGTTGCGTTAAGTAAATGCACCTTATGAAGAGCTCAAGTCATGCGGAAAGCTTTTTGGGGAGCAACTTGAAGCGTTCACCGAAAGAGTTCTAGCAGAATCACGCCTACATGTATCCATCCATCAACGCTTTCAAAGACAGCCAAGCGTAACAGGAAGTCAACTGGATTTTTCTTCATGATCCCGAGAGCCAGTGGGCTCAGTGGACTTTTTTAATCAATAGAGAATGTCTTGTGGTATGTTCCGATAGAGGGTCCTCGGGCACTCTCTGATTGTTGAAGACAGATTAGGTTTTCGAGGGCAGGTGGAGTTTTCGACGAGTAAAATTGTGAACATAAATTTTCAGAAGGATCCTGTTTGGTGCCTGTGGATCCCGTTTTGGGATAGACGGACGATTAGAGCCCTTCATTCAACTTCCCCTCAAAATCGTAGTGGTGACTTGAATACATGTGTGACCCATACGATACAAGCGGTAGACAGCCGCTATGCTGGCCAGTGCTTTCATCCTTTCAGACGGGTTTTGTACTAGTTAATCACATTAGTTGGCTAAGGAGAACATCGATTCGGCCAAAATATCGATTCGGCCAAAATCATGAAATTAGTTGGAATAAAAATTTTGAGTTATATAGTGAAATTTGAGGTTAAGCGAGGCAGTGGNCCCTTCATTCAACTTCCCCTCAAAATCGTAGTGGTGACTTGAATACATGTGTGACCCATACGATACAAACGGTAGACAGCCGCTATGCTGGCCAGTGCTTTCATCCTTTCAGACGGGTTTTGTACTAGTTAATCACATTAGTTGGCTAAGGAGAACATCGATTCGGCCAAAATCATGAAATTAGTTGGAATAAAAATTTTGAGTTATATAGTGAAATTTGAGGTTAAGCGAGGCAGTGGCTTCGAGTCCCCCGTAAACTCAACCTTCTAGAAGAAAATGAACGTAGTGAATCAGTGGTACTGACCAGATGGTCGCTATTTAACAGCAAAACTAGAAATCAAAACCTTAAGCAGACCTTTTCTTCGAGCCTCTTTAGAGCTAAATCATTGTTACACACAGGATTAATATGAACTGTGATTCTGGAATTACTTCTTACCTAGAATTATTGTCACTTATTGCCCTTTACAGCGCAAAACAACTGGGTAAGGCTGTGAATGAACAAGGATCAGTTCTGTTGTTAGTATACGAGCGCGATTCAAAAAATAACTGAAAATTCCCTTTCTTATGGGAGCGACTCCATCACTCTGAGGGAGCCCACTAGTTTTAGACGTTGCAGTAGCCGGACCACCTTATATGAACATTTTTATTAAGTCCTTCTTATTGTACCTACTGTTCTTCTCATTCCGTTACCCATGCAATCGTTATTCACTTCCTTGACGTAGACTTCTCCGAAAATGAAAACATTGAATAGACCGCTGTCTAGCCTCAGAAACCCTTGATCTCTCATCAGGCTTCTTTGAAAGTTTCTGTGTGGGCTTCTCAGTGAAGCTGCATGAGTGCAGCAATTAGAAAGTGCAAAATGACATCCAGTCACACTACTTTGCAACAGTACTTATGTATTTTTTGCAGGATTACGATAGTCGCCCCTAATTTCACTGAAACATGAATTTTCTCACCAATATAGACAAACATTCGTGTGGGTGTTCGTTTCGATGGATATGTGAGCGGTGACGTCACAGAAAAGTATCGGTCCAGCGATATAGCACATATGTGTAGAATTGACGCAGTAACAAAAAGTACGTCAAGCGCTAGCCACATTTCACAGAGTACATTCCCTGAATATAATTTTCTTGCAGTGCAGTAAATTTGTTACTTACATCAACTTATATTTACAAAAATGAATCGATTAAATACCGAATTCTCATACTTAGAAATGTAATTAATGTTTGTGTGAACTTGAAAAGCTGTAGGTTTCCCGGTAAATGAAATGAAAAGCGACATATAAGTGACAAGTTAAAAAAGTTAAAGACAAGTTAAAGTTAATTAAAATGGCAGGATCAGTACGGTATTCATCCCTGGATACAAAAAACCACTTAATATCATTTATCTACCACTCACTACCATCATTATTATCATTTACCACTATCTATTATTTCTTTATTTGAGCAGTTGCGAAAGTAAAATTGCCTGCTGAAAGTTTTAAGTTGGAGCGAGATCTTCCCGCAATCATTCCCTTTCCAAGAGCTTCATGAGTACGTTTACTTACAAAAACACATTACCACGGGTGACAAGATTGGTTACATCAGTGCGGCACATTCCCCCCACCCTTCTTCTTCCGTACCACTCTCTGCCCGTCCTGATTTTCCCTGCCTAAGATAGTCCCTATAACATACTAACAATCAACCTTGGATGAGAAAAGTCGAACTGACCAAGCTTTTGCACAGTCCTCAAGCGTTATATGTACTCAAACACGCACATGCAGTTATTTTTATTTTTTTAAAATAAGACTCCACGAATTTAGCAAGTCGTACTGCGATAGAAGTTCCTTATCACTCTCATACAAATGAAAATTCCCCTCCCTAGATAAGTGTAGCCGGTTCATAAGCCCAATCTAAGCAAAGGTTCCTCCTGGACGACAAGAAGGAATAGGCATGGATATTTTTTTGAATTTTTCGTTAGACAGTACCCTCCACATACAGCCACCGTCAGCCTCTGACTTTCCTAACTTCTCATTATGTGACTTTACTCTCAGTAAAGTCGGCTATTTTTTATTTCTAAGAGGAACTGAAGGGTATTACCACTAGGACTACCCTACGAGGTTTTCACGAGGAGGGTAAAGAAACTGCAACAAAAGGTGACATCCGTATCCCGGGTAACTGTACATTAAATTGTACTGACTACTGGTAAGATTGATATAATTTTGAACTCATTTTTGATATATGATATTTTCATGTTATGCTCAAATAACAAAGGTCGAACACTGTAAAAAAACTATTTCTTACCCATTTTCCATTCGCCTATGATTTCATAGATGAGCGTCAATGGCATGACCAGCAATCCTACTAATAAGTCAGCCAATGCTAATGAAATAATCAACCAATTCTGTCGTTGTAAACGTAGCTTACGATCGCAGTACACGGTAACCACAACAAGTAAATTACCAAGGATAATTATCTGGAATCAAGTAACAATTGGTAAAATAGACGTGAAATAAATGAAGAATTTCAGATAGTACCAGCATAACGGTGAGCATGCTAGCGATCGTTATTATGGCTTCGATGAGGTTAAGGCACGCGACGGTGACGTGATCGTCGAGGCAACTGAAGTTCGACATCACGGCATCTGATTCTGAAAGCATGGAATCTGATTCTTAGGAGCTCATATGCATGGCGTAACGGTCGTGAAGCGAGGAGGACGAAATTCGCGTTCTCAATTCAAAATCCAATGAAATTGATAAGTTAGAAACCCTATAAGTGGATCATTGCGGCTCCAAGCGAACCAATCAATAATCAGCGAGCATAGGCGATCGATGAGCGCAGATGAGTATAGCTGTAATTTGAAGCAGCCGGCGGACTCTGATACTTCAAATATTCACAGNACAGAAAAAAGTATTCTAGGAAGGTTATGCATCACAGATCAATGGGAGCGGGAATTGTTTTTCATCGGAAAGAGCTTTCAACGAGAGCACACGCATGATTAGAGAAAACAATAGCGTGTTTGTATCCTACTGAGCACATGGGACGTGTAAAAAAGGTTAGAGTAATCTTTCGGAAGTAATGTAGTTGTTAGCTGTTGGTCTACTTGTAACAACGGCTACATTTAGTTGGGATAAACTGCCTCAAATGTCAAATGAACTTAATGGATCGAGAAAAACTTGAAGATTATCGAAGATTATGAGAGATTGAGAAAAGTTTACTTTACAGTAATCAAGATAAACAGATAGAAGTAGTGCTCGTCTACTGTATCCAGTAAGTTTTTAAATAAAGGAATAGGTTTTTAAGTGTAGAAAATTATATTTTCTTTTGATTTTTGGCATATTATGCAGGTTTTAGCAAGACCCAGCGAGGTTACTGCACTACGAAGGTTTCCCAAACATTTCTTTTACTCTCAAATGATACCGCTTCTTCAGAATGGACCTGGTGCGATTAGAGACTTCATCGGTGAAGAATTGTGGATGAAGCTTCAGTAGCCCTGGACAGGGCTGTTGGCCTGAGGAGGATGCAAGTGAAGGTTTACTCAGGATTCCACGAAGGCATACTAATGAACGTCACGCTTCTGATACTACACGATACCGTGCGATAACATCAGTACATCTCGGGAAATAAGCGTCGAACTGGGAAAAAAAGTTACTAACTCTTGAATTGGACGGATGAAAGTAATAGAATTCGAAAAGTACAGGTTACATAATGGGAAAAACGACATTTAGTCGAAAAGTCGAATTGCTGTCATTTCCAAATGAGACTGAACGATGTGCCATGAAGTGCATGGGGATAGGTGGAGCGTATGGACGAAAGCCTGATGTGTGCCTGGGTGTGTGTGCGTGATGGAACAGAATATCCGATCCGACGCTAGCTATACTTACTTGGATTTCTTCAGTAATTGTACTGAACACTGGTCGGAGATTGTAGTATCCGCAACACCGCGTTTCTTAATTAGTTTGCAATTATGAAGAAGATTCTACCGAAAATCATGTATAAAGAAGTAGTTACACGGAGACATCGAACTTAGGGTAGAAAAGGAGCATCATTAATACGAATATTATTTAAAATAAACATTTCCAAAACTCTATTTACCATATTGCTTGGGTTTTTCACGGACATTTCATTTTTCTAAGGATTCCTATCCAACTCCATTAGTTTAAACCCTGGAGATTTTAGAATGCTGTTCAGGAAGTGCCCCTAAGGAACTAAGGGATCAAGGAAATGTAAACTCAGCCATGTTTGCAGTTAAATTGAATCTCAAAAAGTTATTGAGCTTCATCAGAGAGTGCTGACTGATTGGACCCATTGAGTTCTAGTGAACACGTTGAAACGGTAATAAAAATGAGTAAATAGTAGGAAGTCGTAAAACAGTAATAGATGTTAGAGCCGACTGATGTTCCGCTCAGAGTAAAGGTAGGGAACGTAGCCTGCCCAAATCTAGGGGAGAAGGCCCTTTTCACCCAGTAAAAGTCCTCGAGGAACCTGCTGGACAATTCGGATCTACAAGGTCCAACCAGCTCCTGGGCAGTTCTTGGCAGGGAACAAATGAAAATGGGACCGATCCTACCCGAAGCTGGAATGTTTCACGTCAGAAGGCCGATGATGCGATCCAGGTATAAACCTGAAGCGAAGAAGATTATCTCAACTTTCATAGGAGCCGCCATACATATCCAACCGAGAATTGAGAACAATTGCACTATTGAAACGTACTACAAAGCGAGGTCTCCATGAAATCTGGACAGGCCCTAGAAGTAAAATATCGTCCTTACTGAGGTTTACATTGTAAAATTGAGAAGGAACGTCAGTGCCATTCCCAAGGGAGCTCAGTTTTCTGCCTGCCTCCCTC